TGTAGAGTTTAGGGTTTTGGGTTCAGGGTTTAGGGTTCCTCTTTTGGGGTTTAGGGTTTAGGGCTTAAAGCCCAAACCCTGGAGCCCTAAACTAGAAGCACCTCATCTGGCTCTGGGACATTGAATCCGGAGAGCGTCACCTGGCCCCGTGGACCGCTCCAGACGAGCCTGGCAGGTGGAGGTTTGGCTCATGGTACCAAGCTCAAAGGGGGATCCTGCTTTACAGTTTAGGGTTTAGGGGTGCGTTTAGTGTTTCGGGTTTAAGGTTTGGGAGTTAGGAAAAAAGGTCTATAAACCCTAAACCCCTATGGTCATCTTCGAATTGTGCTACAGCTGCTACAGGGTAGGAGGACGGTTAGGACTTGAGATCAGTGGCTAGATGTCTTGTTACTGTTTGGGTTCCTGGCCTAGCTCTCAAGGTATAGAGGCGATTTCGAGAGCCCCTGCGGGCAAATTGTATTGGCAGGTTTTTAGTCACTGCACATCGCCTGCAAGCCATGCTAGCTAACACCCCTAAACTCCCTAAACCCCTCGAACCTCAGAACTCCCCGAACCCCAGAACCCCCCCAAGACCCCTAAAATCCCCAAAAAAACCCTACAGATCCCTAAAACCGCTAAAGCCCCTAAAAAAAAACCCTAACACCCACACCTCTCCTTAAAAAGGACCCTAAAGCCCAAAACACACTACGGAGCCTACCTCCTTGATCCCCTGAATCCACGGGGCCTGTTTGTAAGCTCAAGCTGCTCTGTTCGGGGACTTAGCGAATGCAACAGGAACCCAGCATTGGGGGTGGGTTTGCGGTTTAGGGCTTGTGGTTTAGGGTTTAGGGGTCGAAGGGTTTCCTAGAAGAGGCACGAAGGAGGTGAGATTGCTGCTGCCACCTCCCCCGTCCTCAGACGTCGGCACCACACCCCTCACACCGGCCCCTCAACAAAAATAATCCCGAAACCACCATTTCTACCAAGGATGCTCCAGCTGCTGCCTCAACAACGACAACGATCAACAACGCCCTAAACCCTAAACCCTAAACTCCCCCCATCAGAGGAAGGGACCGTTCTCAAACCCTACGCGGTTTAGGGTTTAGGGATGTTTAGGGTTTAGGGTTCAGGGTTTAGGGTTTAGGGTTTTTAGGGTCCCCAAACGCCCACTCCTGGCGCCTCCTCGACTCCCCCGGCAGCAAGTTGAAGTAGTCCACGCTCCACCAAACCGGGAGAATCTGGGATGGGTCTCGGTTTAGGGTTTAGGGTTTAGGGTTTAGGGTTTAGGGTCTCGGGAATTCACGGCTCAAGAAAAGCACCCCGAAGGCTTTGGGGAGACCCAGAACGGAAGAGACCCCATGCTCGTCACCTGACACGGGTGTAGATGTACTGACTCTGAGCCTTGCAGGATGTTGACGAAGAAACATCTTTTGCTAGTGCTTTGGGGTTTGAGGTTGGGGCCTCTACGCAGAATATATGGGCTTTGACTCATGCCAACACATCAGCGATATGAAGAAGAGGCAGAACCCGTTTGCTCCAGAGCTCCTACTTGGCCCACCTCTGAAGTGCCACTCCACAGACGAGGGTGCACCAGAAGAGCCGTCCAGGCCCCGGCATTAGTGATGTTTGCCTCGGTGCCTCCTTGCACCACCTCCAGCCGAGTAGGGGTCGGCGCGAGGTTTCGGTAGTCCATGCCAGGAAGCAAGGCGTCGCCATTGCAAGGGTCAGAGAGTAAGTGCTCCAGCACGTTGCCGTTGTGATGCATTCGGAGCAGCAATGCTCCTTCTCGTCTGGGCCACGTCAGCTGTCCGAGCAGCGCCACGCCCTCCGGCTCCAGGCTGGAGCTGTGAAAGAGCTTCCTAGACAGCATCTCCCCTTTGGGCAGGGAGAAGAAGGTCACAACCACCTCTGTCTCAGACACCTCCTTCGCCGCCCGATTCACTCGGTAGAGCTGCGCGGCACCCCTGGCACAAGGCCGCAAGGACACCAGCACATGATCGAGGTGCCTTAGGGCAGCGCCCATCCCTTCGTGCGCGCTGTTCTTTTCGAGGTGCCAGTCATACAGGAATCCTCGCAACGATGGCCAAGGTGACTGTCCCTTCCAAAGCAGAAGTCCAGCATACCAGGACCACTGATGCCTCAAGTAGCCCTCGAACAAGGACCTGTACTGGACGTACTGAACCACGCTGGCTCGGTCGGCATAGGTCTTCTGATCCATAGCACTCCTTGGACTCCCTGGCCAGAGGTCGTAGATAGGATCCACCAAAGATCCGGGCCCCGACGTCCTAGAGACGTTCACCACGAAGGCCTCGAAGTTGTGCCAGGCAAACTCAGCGGGCACCGGGTGGCCGAGTCGACCAGGAACCTCCTGGGTGCGGATGAAGCGGCGGAGGCCCGCGAACGTGGGGAAGTTTGGCCCCCCCAGTTCCGGATTGATGGAGAGGGGAAAGGGCTGCAAGCCCGTCCGATTTGGATAGAGCTGGTACCGCAGGTAAGGGTTCCGCTCAAAGAACTCACCAGGGACCTGGGAGCCATAGGGCCCATCATCCACGGACAGCGCGGCCGTGACGTTCTTCGGATCGTAGGACTGCATCTGCTGCAGGAGGGAGGAGGTCTGAATGTAGGGGCGCGAGCCATCCAACACCTGCTCACAGGGCAGAGCTTATACAGCTTTTTCCTCAAGCAGAAAGTCCAAGACCTCTATATGCAAAACGAAGAGATTTAGAACCTGACACGGAATCAGGGCAGAACTCGAACTGGCTCACATCGGACAAGTTGCTTCCACAAAACGCCGTTCAGCGCGGCTGATGTCTATAGGCGGGCTCCTTTCAGAGGGCCAAAGCTCATTGCCGCCGCCCCACCAAAAGAGGCTCGGATGACCCCGTAGCAAGAGCACCGTGTCTTCCACATTATCGAGGAAGACCTGAACGAATCTGGAATTTTGCTTACCTGGACCCCAAATAACCTAAGGAACCCCCCCAAACACGGTAGGTCTTTTAGGCTACAGGTAGGGTTGAAGGCCTTTAGGGTTTAGGGTAAAGGCTTGAAGGGTTTAGGGGGGCTTTCCAGCTCAGGGTGTACACCTTACAGTAGGTTTTGTGCACACTTGCGACCTGTTGAGAAGATGTTGCACTCTTTCTTTTCCAAAGCACTGGTGCTAATGCCTGAAGCATGTAACAACACCACTTCTATCAACCTGTATGATATACTCTATATATCCATCTATCTATCTAGCTATCTATCTATCTATCTATCTATACATACATACATACATACATACATACATACATACATGCATATGTATATATATATATATATGCGTGTACGTGTGTGTGTACGTATATACCTGTGTATATATATATATACACACTGCGGTATTCTAGGATATGATGTGATCTGATCTTATACTACATAACCTGTACGACACTTCTTAATACCTACATATACATAACTCACATGTGTGCATATGTATGTAAGATATATATATATACATATATATATATATATGCAAACGAGTATAACATATATGTACACATAGTGTATGTGATGTGTATCTACAGACATGCGTACATACATACGCACACACACACACAACTTTCAACTCTCAAGATACGTGCCAGGCCGATACAGGGAGACCCAAAGTTGATGTGGACGACGACCATCAGGTCGTTACTTAGGGGTTGCACATCTGCATATGCACTCATGTTAAGCTGCAAAAACTGGCAAAACACTCGCAGATTGCGGAAACCATGCAGACATCAGTCATGTAGACATGAGCGCTCACACACTGCCTCACAATTCTTGTTTCAAACGAAGACGGAAAACTAGATGCAGATGCCCAAGCTACGCCGCAGCGTCCATGGCCCATCGTTGACTTTTTGCAGCTACAGGAAACTGCGTTCAGTTGCCCTTCCAGTCTGTTCCCATAGCTTCGTTGGCATGGCCAGGGAAAGACCGCCATGCCCCGTCGCAGCAACTTCGCAAATGAAAACGTTTGGGAAAGCGCGAACTGGATAATCACATCAGTTCAGGCATGCAAGACACTGCCAAGTGCAAGCAATCCGAGAAAATCATGAAGAAAATCATCAGCAATCTGAAACTTGCCTGATTCAAGGCGCGCGGCTTTCCGCATGTACAGCAGAATAATACAAGCATGCATACCTACCTACATACAAACATACTTACTTACTTAAGTCCATACTTACACACATATACACATACGTGCATGCATGCATCCATCCATACATACATGCCCGCATGCATGCATGCATGCACGCATACATATGTATGTATGTATATATATATATATGTTTTGTGTGTGTGTGCATGCGTGTATGTGCATTTGTCTGTTTACTTATCTATTTATAAATTTGCTTCGGAACTTCGGAGGTGTTAGCAGAAACTGTACAGTAACCTGACAATTAATGACCTTCAGCGACCTTCAGTAACTGGAGCATCCTAATAAGAAGGTTTTGCACTGAGACCTGGTGGTCCAAAGGCCACGAGAAGCTGCCAGCTTGTTCTCCATTGTTGTCCCCGGTCATCCAGAACTCCTGATACACCAGCATGCCCAATCGGTCACAAGCCTGACGGTTAGGGTTTTTGTGCCTGGGATGAAGGGCCCGTTTTTTTGGCGCCTAGGGGTATGGGTGATGGGGATAGGGCTTAGGGTTTAGGGTTTAGGGTGTGGGTTTAGGGCTTTGGGCGCAAGCCTGATAGAACTCGGGTCTCTCAGCGATGCCACCGCCCCAAACGCGGATGACGTTTGCTCCGGCGGTCCTCATAAGGCGAACCTCATTCTCGTACCGCTCTGCATCGGTGGAGAAGCGAAGCATCTGATCCGTCGTAATCCAGTTCACCCCCGCCAGAAAAATCCGCATGCCGTTGATCCGGAAGGCTGGGCCGTTCGTACGCTGCTCGTAGTAAACCTCCGAGTGCCGGATGCCAAAGGGCTGACGCAAGACAGTATGATTTCCGGCATCCGCGGAGAGGATCTCCACCTCTGACTGGTTCTTAGTAAGGAATGGGGGAATGGGTTATTGGGACTACTATAGGGGACCTTAAGGGGCTATCATTGGGATCCATACCCCCCATTCCCCACTAAGAACCAGGGAGACCTCGTACATGTATGGCTCCCCGAGCTGCCATGGCCACCAGAAGCGGGCAGAACGCAGCGTGGCCGAGCTGCCCGGGCAGCCTGGCACGGCCAAGAGGCCCAGAACATCCAAGGAGGGATCGGAGTGATGACGAACTCTCCTGGACTGGCCCCTTTTGAAGCCTCTGATAGCAAAGAAGTCGTAAAATAGGATCTCTTAAAAAAGATTTGGTAATAGGATCTTCTTGAAAAAAATTCGGGTAAGTAGGATCCTCTTCTTTAAAAAAGGTATGAAAGAGAAAATGCAAAAAAATCTCTCTCCCCAAAACCCGACCTAGTCTCCACTTCAGCCCACAGGGGGCCTCGCGGGCCTCCACGGCCAGGAGAGCATCGTCCTGGCCCCTAAAACCCTAAACCCCTAAAACCCTAGACCCCTAAACCCCTAAACCCCTACTACACCCTAAACCCTAAACCCCTAATCCCTTAACCCTGAACCCTGCACCCGAAACCCTAAACCCCAAGCCCTAAACCCCTATAAACCCCTAAACCCCTAAGACCCTAAACCCTAAATCGTCGTGGCATCGTCCTGGCCCTCTCTGGCCCTCTGCAAGGTCGTTCGGACGTAGAGGTCTTCGACTTGTGGGCTGCTAGAAGAGATGAGCTCTACCTGGGAGTTTTTCCGGAAAGGGTACCTTAATTTTGGGGGGTTCTTAGAATAAGGATCCTACTATTTAGGGTACTAACTAGATTCGGGTCGCCCTATTTTCGGAAACCCCCACCTTGTCCCACAAGCCCGTGTTCCGATCCGGGGTGGCCTGTATCCAATCCCAGCCCAGAGCAAACTGCGCCACTGGCCCATCCTTAGCCAGCTCGTGGTCTCCACCCTGGCCACTGACATTCACACCAAAGTGCGGCGGAGGCGATGTTTCGATCTCCAAATCGAAGCCTTCCGTAGGAACAGCAACCTTCAGACGCCGAAACATGCCGGTGACGCTGCCGCGCTCCGCCCCATTCACCCACACGCGCGTGGTGTAGCTCGCTGCTCTGAGAAGCAAAGCCCTCCAAAGATGGCCACAGGAAGCAGAAGGAACCCGGGTGCGGTAGCGGACGGTGTAGTAGGAAGCTCCCACCTGATGTATGTCTGGCAGCTGCTGCAAGTTCGTAGCCAGATAGGGATCCAGGTTAGAGAAGTTCGACTCGAGCATGCTTGCCAGAACGGTCCCCGGCACCCTTGCAGGCACCCCCTGTCTCCTGTCCTCACAACCACCATACCGGAGAGCCGGCCAGCATAGAGTCCACGGTTGCCACGCTGAGCCCAGGTCTTGAAACTGCGTCTCTTGACCTGGGGTCTTGTTAAGGGATTTAATTTAAGTTACTATAATAAGGAAACCATATTATTTACTATAGATCTCTATTATGGTAACTTAAATTAAATCCCTTAACAAGAACCCAGTGGCAGGAGAGGCCAGAGACGTACCCGAGCGCCAAAGAGAGGAGGCAAGACCTCCAAGCCATCGTCGCCATCTTCGTGGCTTCACGGTCAGGGCTTTAGGGTTTAGGGTTTACTGGGTTGCTCTTAAGGAGCTTAATATAAATTACCATAATGGGGATATAGAGTACATAACAGGGTTTCCTCACTATAGTAACTTAAACTGAAGCTCCTTAACAGCAACCTAGTTTAGCATGTCGGATTTTGGGCTTGCCTTTATGGCTTTGGATGTTCGGCTATCCGAAGCAAAGCTGAATGTACACATGCTGCACCAGTAGACAGAAGTATGAAAGCCACTGTAAGTGTTTTCGATGTGCATAAAAACACCAGTAGACGGAAGTATGAAAGCCACTGTAAAACCACTGCTGAGCCAACAACTCATAGACGGCTGCACGCGGCAAGACCAGCGCAGGAAAGCGCAGCTTCAGTGACTCTGCCAAAATTATTCCTCCTTTCCCCAGGAACCTACACAGATACCTGTGGCTACGACTCGTATCAACGTCATCTCGGACTTCCACTTGAAGCTCCACTACACGAACTTGCTCCGAAAGGATGCTCACGCCTCACCTCATGCGCCCTCGAGAGTTTTTCGCTCAGAGCGGGCTTGAAGTCTGATGGTCCCGTGGCCACAGCAGAAAGACCACCGAGTGCCCCGCCGGGATGTGAGCGAGACGCGGCTTCGCGCCGCGGCCGTGCTTTCCTTCGCGGCTTGAAACCTTCGATACTTTGACCGATGCTAGGTTATTGCGAAGACGAGGGCACGCTAGAGCTCCGGTAACCCGATGAGTCACTAGTTCGCGCTCGCAGCCGGCCCAGCCGGCCTGTAGACATTAACTGGGTTGTAGTGTTGGGGTCCTGAAAAGTACTTATGAATAGGTGCCTCTAGGGGAACCATCAGGGAAATCTTAATGTTTCCCAAAGTGCCACCTAGTTAACCAGCAACGTCTGTGCCCTGCGGGACTATGAGCAGGACAGAGATGCAGTCTTGAAGCGAACCCAAGAGCATGACGCCGCTTGAGGGTTCAGGGTTTAGCGGTTTCAGGGTTTAGGGTTTAGGGTTTAGTGTTTAGGAGCCAAGCATTGAAGCAGCAGTGAAATCCGGCCAGGTCTACTCGGAGCTCCAGCGGAGCGGTTCCGAGCTTTACAGCTTTTTGGGGAAACCCTTCGCAGACTTGATGGCTGAGTATCTGGAGTCAGTTTGATTTGAAGCTTAGGGGTTAGAGGTTCTCAGCGGAGTTAGCGTCAAGATGTGGTGCTTTGCCGATCAAGAATACGGATGTGGCAGGTTTATGGAGAAGTCCATTTGCTGCACTCAGTCACAAGATCCAGGATACGCGGACGTCGAAGCCGGCGCCGGCACTTGCGCCGCGGCTTGCGCTTCCGTGCTTGCTGCGAGGAGAGAGGTGCAGCAGGAAAGCCCTGAATCTCCGAAGGAACAGCCCGGAAACCTCGCAATGTAACATGCTGGCGCAGGCAGGGAGCTACTTTGGGGAAACGCTCCTCAGAACCTGCAGAGATCTCCGCACACATGTGCCATTATCTCTGTTCGAGCTTGCAGCAACATCAGCGCCACGCAGTCATCGGGATTTTCGCATGGAGACTCTGGTGGAGTCCAGCTGCAATGCGTTCGCATGGAGCTAGCATGGCTACACAGGCCTGCTTTTGGGGGGCTGGTTCTTCCTTCAAATCATCCATTTCAACTGTCACCCAAAGACAAGACTTTCTGTGCATCGAAGCTTCGCAGGAACGGCTTTGTCATCGGGGTATCCCTGCTGCACAAGGAGAGTGGAAACCCCTTATCTGCGAGCCTCGCGCCTCCGTCGCCCGCACAGAAACGGCCGTCTCAACTCAGACGAGGTGCCGAGGGTTTAGGGTTTAGGGTTTTTTTTTGAGCTCCCTTTTTAAAGGGTTTAGGGTTCCGCGAGCGCGCGGAGGAGGATCCCAGCAGTCGAGCTGGCCGAGGCCAGAAGTCAGACCTCCAAGGCTTTGTGGGGACGTAGGCCTACCTTGGGCCTCTCGGAGGAATGAAGATCGGATTTAAGCCTGGTTTAGGGTTTAGGGTAGGGTTTAGGGTTTCAATGCAGAAGACTCCGAAGCCAGCTTCGAAAGAGTAAGAAGGCACAGGGCCTTGCAGACTAAGCGACACATGTGGGGAGCTCTCTACTTTAGCGTCACCCTTTCAGGTCCCAAAATAGTACGGCACCCTTATGAGAAGGATCCCCCTGGAAAGGGACCCTAATTTCGAGAACACGTCAACGCCGCAACCTCCAAGAAAGGCCCCCAAGAGGCCTCTTGAAGAGCCAAGGAGGGGCGGCCTCTTGCCCGCAAAGTTCGGATGACTCTCGGAGCTACGAAAACGAAGCCCGCAGCTGCTCCGAAACACCAACCCTGGGACCCGATCTCTTTTCGAAACTCCCTCAACTCCTTAAACTCCTTAAACTCCTCCTTAGACCCTAAACTGTAGGGAGACGACCTCCAAGCCTCAAAAGCTCAAGAGCACGGAAGGCTGGACACAGGGCTGCAGACGCCGAAGCTGCAGCTTCGGGCTCAGGCTCAGCATTCTGCAAGCCGAGGCCGTGGGGCTCAGGGCTTTGGAATGTTCAGGGTTTAGGGGGCTTAGGGGTTTAGGGGTGAAGTTTAGAGGTTTAGGGGTTTAGGGGGTCTAGGGTTTAGGATTTAGGGCTTCAGAAGCCGGTTGAGAAGACACTGGTGAAGGGAATGCAGGGCAAGCTCGGCAGATGGGGTGCTAAAGCCCGAGATGGGGCGGTTCCGCAGGCTGGGCCAGCACTACTCCTGGTCCTCCAGCTGGCATCGCCCAACCTCGGGCTTCCAACTCGAAGAACATCCTTGCGCCGGGAAGGCGGCTTGTGCAACAGGCCCGTAGCAAGGGGCCGAGCGCAGGTGGCGAAAACATGGGCAGGTGGTAATGCGGCAGTCGCCCTTGGCGTCCGCTGGAGAAGACACAGTATCGGGCCAAGTGTCGATTCTCAGTGCAATGCTCCCGGTGCAATCCACAAGTGAAGAGTCGACAAACGACGCAGCCAAGAGTGTCGGCTCAGCTACATGCAGTGTTACCGCATGCAGTGTTGCCGCATGCAGGGGCCGTGGGGGTACATGAGTGCTACATGCGGACAACGCCCGATAGGCTTGATTCCGCTGCTTAGAGACTACGTGCTTGAGGTTCAGATCTCGCCAGGCTGCACGTATGGCGGCAGATGGCACCGCAAGCCACACTTGCAAGCCGGGAACCGCACCTTGCTAGAGTCAGAGTGGCAGGCACGAGTGCAGCCTAGGGTGCACGATGCTCGGTCTGGCAACCCCTCTTCAGACAGACGGTGGTGTGTCACCGCGTGAGTTTCTACCTGAGCAGACGAATCTGGTTCGGAACTTCCTTCTTGCCACCTCCCAGACGCAGAACTGGACACTCGACACCCAAGTCCCTCTTCCAAGCCCCGCAAGCAGAGGAGAAGCCGCGTCATCCAGCCAAAATCATAGGCTTTTGCACGGATCTTTTGAAAGGTGCAGCCAGTGATGCCGCACGCCCGGCCCCTCACTGGTCCTCTCGAGCAGGCGTCCAAGCCTCCCCGACGATATCCTGGGCTACCCGCCGAGGTCCTTCACAAAACACCCTGATGGCTCCCGCTACTCATGGCAAGACGTCGGATTCGGCATTATTAAGATCCAGCGGATGTCAGAAGAATGGCAGCACAGCTTTGAAGGAACTACGAAGCAAAGCTGCTGCCCAGCACATCTGAATAAAACCAGCTCTTGCAGGAAACCTGCTCCTGCGTGAGCTAGGCATGATGAAATAGCAGCCTGCAAGTGACGCGAAGAGCGCATGTGCCGGCCACTGCGACGCATCGTCGAGGGCTGGGGCCCGAGATCGCGGTTCCGCAGGCTGTGCCAGCACTACTGCTGATCCTCCATCTGGCATTGCCGAACCGTGGGCTTCCAGCTTAAGGGCTGCGAGCACGCAGGCGTGGCCGTGGCCCAGGAAGACACCGGCACTCCTATCAAACGGACCCAAAAAAGGGACCCTAATTTAGAGAATTACCGATGTGCTGGGAAGGCAGCTTTTGCAATAGGCTCGCAAGGGGTCACGCGAAACATGCGACGCCAACATGGGCAGGTCGCGTGGCAGTCGCCCTCCACATCCGCATTCGAAACATCACAATGGGTCAAGCGTCGAAGTTCAGTGAGACAATGCTTCCGGTCCGATCCAGCAGGGAAGAGTCAGTGAAGAAGCCTCCTACTAGTATCAAGAGTTCCGCCTCAAGTACAGACACTTGTCGCCGCATGCATGGGCCTTTTGTGGACACCACGGGTGCTCTCTGGTGCTACATGCGAAGATGTTGTGACAGATCTTGTTAAGCCCTAAACCCTAAACCCTCTTTTTGAAACGACTCTTAGCTGTCGAAGATGCCGACTCCACCTCTTAGAGCTTAGCAGATCTCGCTAACCTAAACTGACATGGCGGCAGAGATGTCACTAAAAAAGCCAGACTAGAGGACCCTAAACTATGGGAATTATGGTATGTTCCTTATTATGGGTAACGCAGGATTTATACCTAGACTTGCAACTGGAGAATCACAGGTGGCGGGCACAAGCGCAGGAAACGGTGCAGGATGATCGGTCTGCTTTTGGCTTGAGGACGCCGTGCAGCCACACCTCGTCAGACGGGCCGTGGACCGTGGCGTGTCACGGCGTGCTACGCTT